GGCTGCCAGTGGCTTACTGGCTCATGTTTTGGGGCCACTGGGTCAGGGGCAGTGGCTCTGGGCGGGCTGGCAGGCTTGGAGCTGGCACAGGCACTGTGGCCAGAGTCAACCCCTTTAAGGGCTCCAGGGAAGGGGGAGGGAGAGGAGTGTTCTTGGTTGAGGCTGGAGTGGCCACCAGGGCTCCCTGGAAAGGGCTGGAGGCCCCCTATTTCGAAATAAGTGTCTACGCAGCACTTACTTTGTAATAGCTATTTCGAATTTGGCGTTATTCCTCATGGAATGAGGTTTACCAAATTTGAAATAAGCCTTTTGCTATTTCAATTTAATTTCGAAATAGCGGTTTGGCTGTGTAGGCGCTAGGAAAGTTATTTCAGAATAACGGCTGTTATTTCGAAATAACTTCGCTGTTGTAGACATACCCTTAGGGAATTAGTGGTGTTGTAAGGTATCATCCATGTGTGGAAACATGCCTTAGGATGGGCAAAATCATTCTCAAGTGACAGTCTGGATATAGGATTTGGAGCACAAAGCATCATAGAAATGTAGGGCTGGATGGGATGAAGTACAGTCCTCTGTTCTGATGCAGAACCAAGTAAATGGAGACCATCCTTGATAAGAATTTGTCCATCTTGTTCTTAAAAACCTCCAGTGATGGGGATTCTACAACATTCCTTGAAAGGTTACTCCTGTGCTTAACTACCCTTATAGTTAGAAAGATTTTCCAAATATCTAACCAAAACCTTTCTTGCTTCAGGTGAAACCCCCTCTTGCCGTACTTTCACTGAGCATGGATCAACATCCTCTTTAAAAAGTATTTGAAGACTGTTATCAGGTCTCCCGTCGGTCATCTTATTGCAAGACTAAACATGCAGATATTTTACCTTTGCTAATGTGTCAGGTTTTCTAAACCTTTTTCATTGTTGTTGCTTACTGGGAAAGAATTGCAATAAAGAAGCCAAGAAAAGATAAGTATGGATTAGGATTTCAAGTAGGGTCGACTTCAAACAATTTTGTGTGGACAGTAGGGATGTTAAAAAGCAGATAATTTGGTGACCATGTAACCGCTGAAATTTTCAACAGTTATACTGTTACATTCACCCATAGTGCGGGGTGGCAGGCAGCAACCTGGGGGATGGTGTGCTCTGGGAGCCAGCTCCCCAGGAGCAGAGTGGGAGTGTGCATGTAACCGTTCATGGTAACCAATAAGACCAGGTTTATTGGTTAACCGTGTAAACGGTTACTTCTTACATCCCTAGTGGACAGGTGATGATAAACAGGCTTACATTTTTGGAAAAGGAAAGTCAGGTTGCTGACCTTAACAGTAGAGTTTCCCAATGTTAGACAGAATTGCATAGTTTTGTGTTGACATCCTGGCTTCCTTCCTTACTTGAAATTTTCATTTTGATCAGATTATTCTTTGTTCTAAAGCTATGCGCAGTGTTAATATTTGTATTTTGCTAAACAGAGGGGCTACTATAATTGTCTATAAATCACCCATGAGGTTTTTTTGTTTTTTTTGGTTTTTTTAGATTTCTGATTGCCATGGCTGCCGTTGACAGTTTCAACCTCTTGTACAGGGAGATTGGTCGTTCCTGCAATTGTTACATGGAAGCGCTGGCTTTAGTTGGAGCATGGTATATGGCCAGAAAATGCTTCACCCTTGTGTGTAATTCTTACAGTTTGATCAGGTTGCATTTCATCCCCAAGCTGGTCAGCAGGGCTGATTTTGTAAAGCGGTATGGAAGATGGGCTATCGTCACTGGTAAGAGAAAGCAACAGTGTATTTTTGTCTGGAAGACAGTGGTACATGACTTTGATTTGAAATATGCTTTTCCCCTGTTTGAGCTTAGTAATTATTTATCTATCTATGATATGTACTATATTTTATTATATCTATATTATATTTTGTAGCTGAATTAGAGCCTTTCATTGTAAATACTAACTCTGAAATAACAGCATTGTCAGTTAAATCCTCCCGTCAATATTTTTCATCCCTTTTAAGCAGATGATCCAGTCTTTCAGATCTTAGAGAGTCCTACTGACTTCTGTTGTACTCTTACAATCTGACACAACCCCTTTCATTTAAATATTACTGGAGTCTGTCATTTTTTCCCCCTTTACTTAGACACTCTTCTGGTTCTGCATGGTTAGACTCAGAAGCCAGTTGACATTTAAGAAGATGAGTAGAGACTTCTAGTTGAAAAATGGCTATTGGAGGAGCAGAATGACAGGCAGATATGTACCCAGCATCTTGGTGACACTCTTGTGTAAATAACTTACACAAAGTACTCAGATTTGGCTCCGGGTAAAATTTGCACTTCTGACATCTTCTTTTCACCAGACTTTCCTCAGTCTTCTAATTTTGTATTCTAAACAATACATGACTCTTATAGATCTATTTACTACTTTGTTAGGCTTGAGGTTTTAACTGACTGTAACTGACAAGTCTCTCTCTGGTATGGTTTATTGAGACTGGGGCTGATCACTTATTTCTTATCGCCTTAAGGGGGAACAATATCATAATGAAATAAGAAGTGGAAACAGAAAACTGGGGTCACCATACTAGCTGCCATATCTCCACTTTACTATCTTTCTACTGTAGGTAGCACAGCTGGCATTGGACAAGCCTATGCTGAAGAACTGGCAAGCCATGGTCTCAACATTATTTTAATCAGTCGGAGCAAAGAAAAACTGGAGACTGTAACTAAAGAAATAGCTGAAACATATAACGTTGAAACTGCTATTATAGTAGCAGATTTCAGCAAAGGTCGTGAGGTTTACTCTTCCATTAAGGAAGCCCTCAGAGACAAAGACATTGGGATCTTGGTGAACAGTGTGGGAGTGTTTTGTGCCTACCCAGAATATTTTACCAGGTTATCTGAGGATAAACTATGGGAAATTGTCAATGTAAATATTGCTGCTGCTAACATGATGGTGCATATAGTGCTGCCAGGGATGGTAGAGAGGAAAAGAGGTGCGATTGTGAATGTTTCTTCTGGATCCTGCTGCAAACCCACTCCACAGATGGCAGCCTATTCAGCCTCCAAGGTAAGTCAGGTGTCATGTTTAATGTTATATTGTTACACAATCATTCAGAGGAACAAAAATATGTTAAATTTCTTAAAGGAGGCATTCAAATCTTATGGGTAAATACTACATGAACAGTGTATAATTAGGGTTTTTCAGGGCCAGAATATGACTTTAAACAGAGGCCTATATCATAGGGATTATGCAGCAATAACTCCAGTAAAAATCTTAGCTCCTTGTTGCAGTTTTGGGAAAGGCACAACCCAAAATGGCAGTTCTGTTACCTTGCCTGTTGAGCTCACTGGCTTGCGCAGAGGCGTGTGAGGCTATTTATTTGTATTGTGGTAGTGCTCAGGAATTCCAGTTGTGGATCAAAGCACTATTTGGTAAATGCTGTACAAAAATGGCTTTGCCCTGTTGACTGGTGTCACAAATAATGCTAGCCTGGGCCTTTTTGAAGCTCAAGAACTGTGCCTTCTCTTTATTCAGGGATGCAAGGGAGAGGGATCGCTCTGGACCTCATTCTGTTCCCCTCTGGGCACCCACACAGAGCACGTCCTGGGATATTTCAGATGTTTTAATATATACGCTTGCTAACTAAAATATTAGAGCTTTTCACATTTTTGTCATATAAAGCTATTTTTTCAAGTGTATGGCAAAGCATTCCCAGTTATTTGCTGTGAATTATAGTAAACCTCTAAAAGTAGATTAGCATAGCTACTTGCTGGTGGTTCTTTTTGCTGTTAAATTCATACTGTATTAAATGTCAGGTTTAGAACATTAAATGGCTATTTTTTGCAAAACTTACAGAAAATGATGTGTTTTGATGTTTCACTTACCTATATGTGGAGTTCCAACTATTAATACTAACTAAACTTCTGGTGATAGCAGTAGAACTAGTATCAGGCTTCCTGCTTCCTCCACAAACTCCTGGAGTGGTAGGATTACTGATTAAGGTCCTAATCCTGTAAATATTTGATTAATTTTAAGCATGTGAGTCACCCCATTCACTTCAGTTGAATTACTAACAGGCTAAGTATTTGCAGGATCAGGGTCAAGGATGCTTGGGGGTTAGAGAAGCACTAGTGGGATAATGACATTTTAGGTTCAGTGTCTGCTTAAAGAATTTTTTTATTTTTAAAGTGTTGGGGTTTTGTTTTTAATGTTCAGTTTGTTTCCTCTCCACAAGTATAGTGAGGTTGGGAAAGGAAGATGACTTCTTCCTTCAGCCAATGAGGAATTCTGGAAAAAAAAATCCCATGAATTATCACCCAGAAGCGAAGCAGCACTGGAAGTATTGTAGGCATATGAGAATCCAGGATCATACCAGGTTACCACTAAGTCACCAGTCTGATACCAGACTACTGTTGCATTCAGATGTCTGGCCATATACCATGGTAACAGCATGCAACATTGCAGGAATGTTAATACCATCATAAGAGCATGCCAAACTAATTTATTTGATGTGCCTGATCTCTGTAGTTTCTACCTTTAGGTTTTTGATGCTAAAGGTTAATTTTTTACATTGGGGAGTAAATGAGCTGAGGAAGTGTTTGGACCATACACACAAATTTAATTCTGTAAACATGCATGTGTGTAATTTTATACACCAGTAATTCTGTTAATTTCAGTGAGACACATGTACAGGCAGTCCCCGGGTTACGTACAAGATAAGGACTGTAGGTTTGTTCTTAAGTTGAATCTGTATGTAAGTCAGAACTGGCGTCCAGATTCAGCCGCTGCTGAAACTGACCGCCAGTTCTGA